CCTCTCATCTGGGGTGTCTTTAGCGGCTGTTCTGAAGGTTGAGTGTTAGGATACATTTCATTTGTTCCTGCTGAAGGATGCCAGGGATACGGATGTGTTTTCCTCACCTCCGTCCCCAGGGAGGTATATTACCTCCAGATAGACTGATGCCAAGATATATTCCAGGTATACTGGAAAATTGCACAGTAAGCCAARTCAGCAAAGTACCTATTTTTTAGTGGTTGATTTTAGTTTTTTTTTCATTGACTCATTTAACTGTGCCAGCTCATCCACAAGTGCATGACAACTACATCATGAGAAAGGTGTAGGTGGYGGTAGGAGGTAAAATGTTTTTATTCTGTTTTCCCCCCCATGGAAAAAAAATTATGACAAACAACTAACTAAAGAATTTAAACTCAAATCTTTCAGAAGTTCTAAAAATTTGCATGACTAACTCACACTGAGCTTTTCTTTCCCTTCAGGATGTTAATCCAAAAACATCTCTTAGATTTTTTTCCCCCATTTTTCTCTTTGTTGGGACTACATTGGCCTGCATGTTCATTTTATTTATTTACTTTTTTAATGCTCATACTTGCACTAGAGATTACATCTGTGGGCTTACTACTCATCTAGAGGCTACTATAAAGCTGAAACACCACAAAATGGGAGGATTTGAGATTCATGCAGTGTGCTCTTGTATAGCCATTCTTGTCCATCAGTGCTCTGCAGTCTTGGCTGTTTTCACTTGTTTTCCACTTTCTGCAGCTGTTTCTGGTGCAGCAGCCTTGCTTTGCCGCTGTGTTTGCTGCCCAGGTAGTTTACCAAGTTACCCTGTCACCTTGCAGAGCCGTGAGAGGCCTCCTGATATTCTGAGGGCTCAGGGATGCCAAAGCTTTGGAAAATSAATGGATATTTGAATCACTTCCTCTTTGTATATGCATATGGTCTTTAATCTCCTTTAAAGCTGAAAGGTTTGCTGGCATATCTATACTTGCTAGAGATTTATTAAGAGATACAGCTTAAACCRTGCCTAAGCAATAGGTTTAAGCCACAGAATATGAGTATAGTTCACCCACCCTGAAATTTAAATGGAATAAAGATTGGGATTATGCTCAGTTGGGTGTTTACTCTTACCTCTCCTCAAGTCAGGTGTAAAAGACAGGGATTCCTTAAAAACAAAAACAGTTTTAAAAACAAAAAACTTAAAACAAAAGTTAAAAAAACTTAAAAAACAAAAACAAAATAATAAAAAACCCCAACACTAAGGTGTCTGTAATACAGGATTTCTTGTGGCAGCTTTACCTAGATGTCTCTATGATATTATTAATGTGATGAAGTGAACATGCAGTAACATGTGTCTCATCACATCACCTGTGATGAAACAGGTTGCTCAGAAATGTGGAGTCTCTGTTCTTGCAGATGCTCAGAACACAATTGGCCACGGTCCTCGTTTGGGTGACCCTGCTCCGAGGGCTGGACTAGACCATCTCCAGAGGTCCCTTCTAATCCAACTATTCCATGGTTCTCTGATTCCATTTATTAGAAACCTTTATTACTTGAATTCATTGGGAAAAGCACAGAGTGGCAGCACGATGGTTTCCTAGATAAGAACATGCCAGGAAGACAGAGGCAGCCTRCTGTTAGCTTCAAAGGTCCGACTAGCTGCAAAGCTTGTTTTACTAGACTGAGAACTAGAGATCTAAAGAAAACATGGAAAAAAAMCAAGAAAGTAAAAAGAAAAAAAAACACCTTCTTTGAGGGAGAATGGTGAGCAGTTGTTTACACAGGCATGCTAATAAGGAGAGGTCTCTAAAAACGTCTGAGGAGGCTGGACTTCCCAAATCTAGGGAATAATGGGCTATTATTTTTAATGTATAACCAGATATAGTTATAGTGTGTTGTTTTTAAGACATAATTTTTTGAATGCTTTTGTTGTGAATTATTAATATTTCATTTTAGAGAAACTGCTTGGTTTGTAATTGCCATTATCATTGTCTCCTAGCTAGACAAGCCCTGTCCAGTCTTAAAAAAGTGAACTGAGGGGCAATCTCCCTAGCTTGAGAGTGGTGGTATTGGATGATACCGTGACAGGAGGATGGAGACTAAAAGGGGCCAGAATTCTTCTTAGCTCAGTTACCACACAACTTTCCTTCTCTAGAGTGAGGTACTTTCAGTGGGACTGAAATTTTTGTCTCTTTCAGAGACTGCAGAGAAGAAAGATTAAAAGACATGAAAAATGACTTCTGTTTCCCTTTATCACAGAATCACAGAGAGGTTGAGGTTGGAAGGGACCTCTGCAGATCATCCAGTCCAACCCCCTGCTCCAGTAGGGACACCCAGAGCACAGGGCGGCATCCAGGTGGRTTTGGAGACCTCCACAGAAGGAGACTCCCCAGCCTCCCTGGGCAGCTCTGCACCTTTCCCAAGTTTTGTGATATTTCATATTGGTCTAAGATTGCGTGATGTGAAGAACTAGAGTCTCTAAATAACTAAAAGTTAAGGAGAGTTAAGTGCTAGGCTTGTGAGCAGCACACATTTTTGGAAGAAGTGCTTGATAATTCACTGAATGATTTAATGATAACATGTAATGTTTTAAGAATTAAAATGCTCCAACTTACATATAGTGAGGGTTTTTTTTTTTTTTTTAAATGCTGGGTAGAGCATCTAGAAGAAACTAGAATTAAAATTACTTGAGTTTTTCACTTTCAAAGCTCTTTCCACAACTTTCTGACTTTAAGATGACATTTTCAGGTCTGAACTCTGCACACTTTCCAAAAAAAGTATTTGATGAATATTTTTGGGAAGTATGAAGAAAACCAGTTCGTCCATCTCCGTGTAAAATGACTGCTATAAAAGTACTCATTTGCTGTGACACATCTTTGGCAGCCAGCTAGTGAACAGCTTTAGTGCCTAATTGCAGAGGGCCAGCAGTATTTTTAAAATCATTATATATTTATTATTGGTTATAGCAATGCCTAGAGACCGTACCCATCAACCAGAGRCTTCAGTGCTGGATAGTCTACAGGTGGCAATGGAAAAATCAACGTTAACCCTCAAAGTGATGTAATTTTCCCCTAACGATAGCTGCGTTTCCAGGAGGAGCAACACAGAGCCACAAAGTGCTACCAGGCTGGCAAGCCAAAGTGTTTCTCACTTGATGCTTTCTTGGTTCTGTTACCGCAGTCAGTCAATGATAAACCRTCTTCAATGGCCGTAATTCTCCCTTCACATTCACATCTGTACAATAAAGCTATACTTCCTGAAAATCTAAACACGGAGGTGTTTCATATCACTTCAGAATTCAGTGTTTCCCTAAGCAGCTCATCTTGGATCCATGCTTTCCCTGGTACCACATAAAAAAAGATTAAAAAAAAAAAAGAAAAAGCCTTTAATGTTGAGTTGAGGGACTTTAATGTTGAGTAAATGGACATTTTCTTTCTTGAAATTCTGGATTAAAATTGTCATTTTTTTTTAGTCACCTGTTAATTTCATGGAGGGATGTATTTGAAGTTATAGAAATCTATCATAATAGGACTTTTCAATCCATATTCTTCTGAACTATAAGATTTTTTTAAAGCCTTTATTTATCGCTGCCTTTTCCCCCAAGCTGTTCTTTTTTAGTTGTATTAGAATGGAATATATTTGGGTTTAAAAAAATGACAGCTCCTTTTCATGGTCTTTTACTCTATTTCTGCTCTGGCTGGTCAGATGCTTTTATCTAAACCTTTGTTCTTTGCAGTGGAAGAATTTCAGAGGATTTAAGCGAGTRCTTAGAGAGTTTTCATGGTGGGGAGGGAAGGGATAATTTGCCATCGTGAAATCCTGTTTCCTGACCAGCACTAATACCCATAACKTTTTGGAAACTTTTGTTGGCTATGATGGACTTGGAGTTGTCATATGCCTCAGCCCGTCCTGTGGGCACTTAAGTACACCCGAAAGGTACCGGTGGGTATTAGGGGTGGTGGGTTGTGTTGTCTTGGGTGGGTTGTTGGTGGGTTGTGTTGGGTGGGTTGTTGGTTTTAAGTCCCAAGTCTTTGTACATGACTTGAGAGCAGCAAAAGGGTGATCCTTATGCCAGCYGTTTGGCAAGTGACTGACATAAAAAAAGGCTAGAACTGGCAACTAATCTGATTCACTGGCTGTGAGACAAATGAGGAAAATMAGAACGAAGGAATAGGAGTGAGGGCTTGTGGCAGGGCCAGGCCTGCTTGATTTGCAGTGTGAGGTGCAAAGAAGCGGAGATATTAACTACTTTAAATCTTCCTCTCAAGAATCAGAAATCCTCTTTAATGTTAGATAATTATAAAATTGCAACGTTAAAGGTGTCGSGGCCCCGCTGGCGTTAGCAGGCACCCCGTGAAGCTGCTTTGTGCTCTCCAGGGGGAATAACCCTCAGTTGAGGGTTGCCTCAGGCGTGGGGGGTTCCCGTGCGGGGCAAGGGGCCGGCACGAGGAACCCTCTCCCTCCGCGCTGCCCCTGCGCGTTTTTTTTTTTTTTTTTTTTTTTT